ACCCTTAACTACCATGATGCCTGCCGACCCTGAGACTGAGTGATTTATGAAAACAAGGATTTATTTAGCTCATGGTTGAGAGGTCTGAGGTCCAGGGTCTCCTCTGGCGGGGATCTTTTGGATGCATCACAACATGGCAGACAGCAGGAGAGCATGGTCAGTTTCATGTGAGTCACCCTGCTTCATTTTCTTTTCTATATAAATCTATCAGAAGTTAGTCACTGTGGTCTGACCCTACTGTTTTTAATCCTAATTTCTTCCCAAATACCTCACCTTTCAATACCATAATCAGATTAAGTTTTCACCCTCTTAGTCCCAAAATAAGCACTCAATAATTGATTTTTGGGGGGGGGCGTCATATTTAAGCTATAGCACTCCCTGACTGGGGGCATTTCTTGTGGTTTTATGCTTCATTCTTACCAGCCTCTGGAAGACTCATTTATTTCCAAGATTTGACTTATCTATATAATTTCTTTCCAAAAATATCTATGGTTCAGTTATGTATTACATGATTAGATGGGATAAATGTATATGTAAAAGAAGGAGTTTATTATAAGATTATCTCATGTAATCACAAGACTGAGATAGCAGCCAGTAGGGTGTCTGTAAGATGGAGAAACAGCTGAAAACTGAAGCAGAGACATTAGTATAGTTCTAGTTTGAGGTCTGAAGGAGGCCTGTAGGCAGCCACTAGAAGGAGTCCAGTGATTAAAGAACTTGACATCTGTCTTGCTGGGGGGATGCACAACCTGAAGCTGGCAGGAAAAAATGCATTCAAGGGCCATGTGGAGAAGCAGAAGTTGAAGAGGGGTAGAACACATAGCATGCTCTGGAAGGAGGGATTGGTGGGTGGGGGGAATAGAACCTCTGCTTCCTCTGTTTCTGCCTCCCAGTCTCTCAGCTGATTGGATGCTACCTGCCTACACTGAAAGCAGGTCTTCCTGTCTCAGCCCACTGATTCATCTGCCTATCTTGTCTGGCAACACTGAAAGACACACTTAGGAACACTGATTCACTAGCCTTCCAGGTAGCTTTCAACCCTGGCAAGTTGATGCTCAAAATTAACCATCATATTTCTTCAAAATAAAAATGTCCCCTCTCCAAAATCCTCTCTTTCTCTTCAACTCTACTTCCCTCTTCCTTTAATTCATTCATAAATTCTTCCAATTCCCTTAGCCAATCAGATTTGAAACCATGTTTAATCACTAAGCCTTTTGAATTTTCTTAGACTTTTTTCCTATCCCTATTTTAATGAGGCCTTGATTGCCCCTTGTCTGAGCTACTGAAATAAATTCCGAGTCATGCTTCCTGTTTCCACTCCTAACACCTTCGATGTAGCCTGCACACTACCACTGTTTCAATCATCCTAAAATACCCCTTTGAATGTTTCTTAATAACTCTTAGTGAGTGAATTTCATTGACCTTGAAGTGAGGTCCACAGGACTTAGGGCAGTCTGACTTCCCACAGACTGGCTCCCACCTATGTTTAAAGCCTGTGTCCTATTGGCTCTTTCATCAAAATTCTAGATGAATGAAATGCTCATGTGACATCAAAGATGCAAAGACGAGAGTGTGTAAGGCATTTGGGAGAAAGAAGGTCTTTGTAAATCTGTTAGAAATGCATAATCTATGGGCTACCTGAGCTGAATAATTCAAGTTTTAAATAATCATAAATATATCTGAATCATCCTATAGATTAAGGATATTCTATTCTACAAATAGGCTAATTTTTTTTATGGCATGTAAGGAATGAAAATAAAGAAGGATATGTAGCTCAAGTCTTCTACCTATCAGAATTTAGAGTCTATCATGTTACGCATCTTCAGTAAATATTTATTGAATTTAAAACAAACAAATTCATGCAGGAATGAAAAGGTACCTTAGCAGTTGCTGTAGGTGTCCTCCCTACATGCCCTCACCACTCACTTCTACATGACAAAGAGAAAACACCTGCAAATACTCTAGATACCTGCAATTCTCTACTCAAAGACTTCTTTCTTCTGGCTGCAGGTATGTTCTCCGCCTGCCCTAGGGCAAGCTGGAAGTACCAGAGAGTTAATAGGTCCAGACACCACCTTCACCACTGATGGAATACTGTAGACAAATATCTGCTTCCTTACTCCTTAATTGGACTAACTTTGAGGCATGCTCTGCCTGCCCAGTCTCCCAGATCTCGTAGGAACTGAACACCAGTTGGCACCATAGTCTCTTGCTTGATAGTACGATCCCCTTTATTGACTTCCTTTTCTTCCCAGTCTCGGTTTCCCCACCCCCAGCAGTGCCATCCAGGATCATCTTTCAAAACAAAACAAAAGCTACTTGCAAATATAAATAGATTTCCAGAGGAACCCAAATGAAGACAGCTACTGAATGTGGAATTGCACATTGAGTCTCTAAGAGTCTACCATACCTAGGATTCATGCAATTGAAGATTAATAAAAAATATCTCTTTCAGGAGTCATCTTCTTTGTGTCAAAATTTTTTTCTAGAGAGCACTAAAGTTTTGAACAAAAGTTGTGGAAATTTGAAAACCATCATTCATTTTCAAAGGCAGGGCAGGCGTTCCTATTATTCAAGTGCTTTGGATGTAGACAGAAGTCACTGATATTGGAAAATATTAATTAACAGAATGTTTATTTATTTATTTTTTTGTAGAAGTTTTTGCCTTAAGGCACATGTGCTTGGTGGTGGTGGTGGTTGGGGAGAAACAGTGAGAAGGAAAGTGAGAAATCACCCCTCGGAAGGATGGCCATGCTGGAATCTTTTCTCCTCCATTCTCTTCCTGGGATCTTGGGCATGCATACACATGTGTCCAAAGTGAGTTTCAGGCCATTGGGTCTGGGATTCAAACTGCAGTCAGCCATATTGGAGTCCAGTGACATAGCCACTCTGTCATCTGCTGACCCCAATAGAAGGTTTACTTATTAAATTATTCAAATTCAATTTTTTCCCACTTAACATTTATATTTATCTTACTTATAATGCATTTGCTGTTAGCATCAGAATATTTGGCCAAACAATGCAAATAAAATTGTAGTTCAGGCGTAGTTGTCAAGGAGCTGGACTCCCATGCCGTCAACTGTAGTTTGAGTCACTGACCTGGCAGCTTGAAACTCAACCTGGGTACATGTGCATGCATACCCAAAATCCCAGAAGGAGAATGGAAGAGAAGGAATGGTAGCATGGCCATCTCCCCTGGGAGGTGAGTTCTTGCTTTCTGTCTCTATATTTCTCTGTATCTCTCTAGCATGCACACACACTCTATACCAAAAATCTCTCAAGAATACCCCCAAACAAACAAACTGTAGTTCAATTTCAGTAAGAAATGCAAGATATTCCAAAAAAAAAATGCAGCAGTTTATGAAATCTATGAAAGTGATATTAGAGAACAGCTAGAATCAATGCAAAGTTATGGGCGCATAAATTGCTGGCAGAATTAGACTAGTAACAACTGCAGAAGAGAAAATGGACCTGCATTATGACCTTGATAAAATACTTTCTGAGATCAGCAGCTGGCATAGTGGCTAAGACCCTGGACTTCCACCTGGCTAACCATGGTTTGAGTCCTGGACCTTGTGGCTTAAACTCATGTTGGGTGGAAGTGCGTGTATGCCTAAAATCCTGAAAGGAGAATGAAGGAGAAGGGATTGCGACGTGGCTATCCTCCCTGGAGGATAATTTTTTGCTTTGTGTCTCTCTGTTTCTCTAGCTAGTACATTTGCTCTAGTGCAAAAACAAAAACAAAAACAAAAAAACTCTCTTGGGAGCAGCAGTTGGCGTAATGGCTATATCGCTGGATTCCCATGTAGTTGACTATGGTTCTAGTCCTAAACCCAGTGGCTTTAACTTGTGCTGGGTATGTGTGCATGCGTGCCCAAGATCCTGAGAGGAGAATGGAGGAGAAGGGATTGCGGCATGGCCATCCCCTCGGGGGTATGATTTCTTGCTTTCTGTCTCTCTGTCTCTCTGTCTTTCTGGTGAATGCTCCTGCCCTATAGCAAAAACCACTCCAAACAAAAACAAAAACCTCTCCCAAGATAAACAAATAAAAAACCAAATGAACAAAAACAACAACGAAACCAACTTTCTGGGCCAGCCCTGTAGCCCAACAGAGTCAGATTCCAGGTGACTGACCACAGTTTGAATCCCAGCCCCAATGACTTAAAAAACACGTTGGTGCATGTTTGTGTATGTGTGTGCCCCAAATCACAGCCGAGTGAAGAAATGCGGAGGGGATTGTGGCATGACTGTGCACCATTGGGTGCCTTTTCTCCCCCTACCTCCCTCTCTCTTTGGGGAGGAAAAGTGCACTTTGGCAATTAAAAATAAAATTTCCAACAGGTCTGAGTATCAAAAGACTGAGGGAAGGTCTTGAGATTAGCAATGCCTTTAAATATGGTTTCAAAAAATGATGCTCTTGGGGCCAGCAGGTGGCAAGGACTCCCACATGGCCAACCGTTGTTAGTATCCCAGACCTGGTGGCTTACTTTTTCACTTTCTGTTTTTCCCTGGTGAAAACAGGTGCCCTATAACAAATTTTAAAAAATACAATTAAATAAGTAATCCTTAAGGAAAAATGACACTCTGTGTGATTATTCTGGGAGAGTAAAGCACTAAGGGATAGATATTGTATCATGTTAGGCTATATTTTCTTGGGGGGAAAAAATCCCACTCTGAAACATTGTAGTTACATGATGAGTGACAAAACTGCATGTAGATCTTTTCTCCTACACAGTGTTTAATCTCAAAGTGTGGTGTGTAGCACTCTTGACAAGAATCATCTGCTTAGTTTAGTACTTTGAAACAGGAAAGAGGCTTCTCCTTTGGTTGAAAGTCGCTTAAACATTGAACTGAGAACATTTTCAATCTTTTCTGATTTACAGATATGTTTCTCAGAAATATATCTCTAACTTCCAAGCAGTTCCCGCTCACTCTGGCTAAGGCCTATGTAAGTGATAGGATGCATCTGGCTTCAAGGCACGGATTAAATACAGGGACAGGCTCTTCATGTCTCTGGAGAATCTGATTGGGTTAAGAGCTAAGTCTTAGGACTACTTGCTTTATATATGAGTGCCAAGATAATCTGGAAGAAGGAATGACAGAGAGCGAGGCAGTCTGCTGGACTCTTCAGGAGGTTGAAAACTTACCCTGTTCTTAGCAGGAAATTTTCCTCCTCTCCTCTCCCCTGAATTTTTTCTCAAACATGAAGGTAAGATAATAATTTCTTTATTCTTATAAGTTAAGCTATCTCAAAAGAAGAGTAATACTTCAAAGAAATCACATAAGGAGAGAAACATGGGAAAATACAGAAGAAAAAAATCTTGGGATGACTTTAAAAATATTTATTGAGATATATTTAATAGCTCAGCTAAGGTGAATTCCCTTTTCTTATCTTATAGTTAAATTATAGGTTCAGAGAGCTAAGAATTGGGAGGTTGGAAGACAATGTTTATGAAAGTCCTGAGAAAGCCATAAAGAAATGCAATAGTACTGTTGTTATTTTGGAATGCTTCACGGATTTGCGTGTCATCCTCTCACAGGGGCCATGATAATCTTCTCAGTATCGTTCCAATTTTAGCGTATGTGCTGCCAAAGTGAGCATGCACTCGTACTGTTATTTTGTAGGGGAAAATTTCCTCCAGTGTATTGTTTGCTTTGTTTAATTTGGAACTGGTCAAATCCCTGGGAGTTTCTGTGATTTGACTTTTCTAAGAGCTTTATAGAAAAGCGAATTTGAATCCTGAATGAAAGAGTCAAGATTGAGAGAGTAGAAGACACAAGAGATGAAACTAAAAGCTCACCATATACATATGTTGCCTAATGCAAATTGACCAAATGTTGAAAAAAAATTGCTGTTTAATCAAAGACAAAGCCAAAGACAGAAATCACTACCATAGATTGAATTGCTGAGATGCAAAATTAAATTGGAATTGCGATTATATTTTTGTTATTATAAATTTAATATTTTAAAGTTTAAAAATGTTGCATTATAACACTGGAACAATATTTTCTCAGCCCTATCAGTTGCTGCATTGCATCTGTTGTTACAATGCAGCTATTTGCTGTAGTGAATTCCTACTGGCTTAATAATGGACTTCAGGGAGGGTGAGATACAAGTTTTGAATAACCCGTGTCTTACCTGGGTTTAAATAATTAAAAACTAAACACAGTGCCCAACATATATTTACTAGGGCACCAAGTAACCTTACAAAATTAGAATTACGATGTAACCTAATTTCTATTACTTTGCTTCGTATTTTTTACTTAAAAATTTAGGACATTTGTTAGCTCAATAAGAACATGATGGTCTTCCTAAAGTCATGTAGCTAATACATTTTCTCCTAATATCTATATAACTGTCGACCAATTTTGTTTATTTGGCAATGTGACTTCTTGATAATTGTTTTCTGCTTAAAATATGGTTGCAATTGTTGATTATTATGGCATTTTACTGCTATAATAATAAATACACTCTTATTCTTAAATTGGTATCAACAAATAAAAGCGATGATTTCACTCCAAGTTGAAGGCAAAGGTCTACTAATATTTAAAAGTAGATATTCATAGTTTTACTGGAAACCTAAAAGACCTAGTTATGGGATATTTTTCAAAGAAGGGAAAGTTGAGAAAGCCCCGGCTATCAAAACATCAGAAATGGTGTCCATGTCTGACCTCTTAAAGGAGATCGATCCTCCCTTGGCAAAAATCTGTTCAGAAAGATGATCCCAGAATCCTCTTTGGTTCTCTCTGAGTCTGTTTGGTGTGAGATGTTTGAGAAAGACTTCAGAGCCAAAGTGTCTTCCTGTCCCCCAAGAATCCTGTAGGCCAACCCTTTACTTGGTCTCCCTGGACCAAACTGTGTCTGTGCTCTATAAACCTAGGGGATTCACAGGGTGCTGGGATGTGGTGACACACAGTGATGCCTTAAATCAGAATTGTAGCTGGAACATCGAAGAAAGAGGTAAAGCTAATGCTCATTCAGTGCTGGGAAAGAAAAAAAGACAATTCAGGAAATGTTCCAGCATAGTTACACTGGCACATGGTACAGATATAGCACATCCCCTCAACGAGCAGTTGAGATACATTTTTGCATAGAAAAACAGAAAAATACATTATTTGTGACTGTTTTTATCTCCCTGGTTCATTTGATACACTATTCTTCCCAAAGGCAAGTTAATGTTTCCTTTTCAGAGACCCAGCTCCTAAAGTTTCAAGACATTCTTTTGGTTAATAGAATAAGCTTGTGTAACTTATGACCAGAACTGACTTTGTAATAAGCAGCCCTTGGTGGGCCATAATAAGGGGTATGTTTAAGAGATCCTGTGGTGTTCATCTTACTGTGCTGGCTTATTTCACTTAATGTAATGCCCTCCTGGTTCATCCATGTTTCTCACAGGGTTCATCCATGTAGTAACAAAGGGTGGGATTTTCTTCTTTTCTAAGGTTGGATGGGAGTTCATTGTGTTTTTCTACCACATTTTAAAAATCCATTTATACTTCATGGATACTTAGGTTAATTCTATATCTTGGCTATTGGGAATATTGCTACAATGAACATAGATATGCAGATGTCTCTTCATTATACTGATTTTATTTCTTTTGGATGTATATTTGGTTGTAGGGTTGTTGAATCATATGGTAGTTCTATTTTTGTGTTTTGAGGAAATTTCAGACTTCTACTTAAAAACTTAAAAGAAAAACAGACTTATTTAGCCTTCTGCAAGGTTCTTTCACTCTTTATACTCCCAATTCTCAATCTTTACTTGTATCAGTGTATTGGTTTTCAATTCATTAAAGAAATACAAGCTAAAATAATGCTTTATTGTTTTTCTTATCCAGGCAATAAGCTTACTCATTTTGGTGGGATTTATGGGAGAGTTCCAAAGTTTTTCAAGGTAAGAATCTTTGGGATCATGTATGCAAATCATTAAAGTTAAGAAAAAAATTTAGAAAAATGTCTTTAGTATGGTCTCATTTTTATATTGCAGCCTGAGTGTATTCATCCCTCTAACATGTTTTCATAATAAAAAAGTGCTTTTATTATTATTGAATTTTATTCTTTTTCTGTAAGATAGAAAGTTGTAAACGAATATATCTCAATATTTTTGTCCCAGTGCCTTAGTTTTACCTGTAGTTAAGAGAATTGCATCAGACTTACATGTTTCAGAGCAGTATTTGGTATTAAGTGTAATTCTTTCAAAACATTCTCTTTATTTTAAAGGTTGAGAGATTTTTATTCTCCTTTATTCATGATATAGTATGTGTGTGTTAGAGAGACAGAGAGAGAAAAAGGGAAACATCCTCTACAGGTTCTGGTCATGCTACAGTCTTTTTTCTTTGGTCCCCCAGCCCATTGGATTTTAAGGACTTGTGCTGACAGAGTTGGGATTTGAACCACAGTTGTCATGTAGGATCTGGTCTCTCTTGAGTAGTCTATTACCTACCAGTGCACCATGGAGTAGGCCTAAGAGTTTCTTCTTCTTCTTCTCCTTTTTTTTTTTTTTTAATAGTTTTATCAGTTCTTGAGATCTGGAAAAAGTCAGCATAATGTATTTATGGTCTTGTTTTGCTCTCAGTGTCAGAATAATTGGACATAGCCAGGTCAGTTTCACTTGATAGAACTAGCAGACTATGTTCCAGGTGGCCCTCCTTAGGGACTAGGAATACAAAGAGGGGCAAGATGGCACTGAGTCTACATGGTGCTTCATATCTTGAGACAGTTCATAGCAGTGCAAATAAGCGAGGCCTATATAGGGAAATACAGGAAGACAGAGGAGTTAAAGACAAGCAGGCATTTCCTCCTAAGCATCCATGTTAGGTGAAGTCCTCTGCTTTCTCTGGAACACAAACTAGACAAATGACAGTAAGTTCAGATTGCTCAAAGGTCAAACACTCAAGTATTTGGATTATTGGTGTCATATAAAAACTGTAAGTTAGCAAGGTTAGTTCCTTAAAGCACTTCAATCAGACACGGTACAGAATGAGATTCATTACTTTCAGGGTAACCTGATTATCTTAAGATAGGCAAGACATTTTGACTCAAAATGTCTCCTAGCCTAGGAATATGCTGGACATTCAGAGATCAAGAGTCTTGTTTTCTTTAGCCCTTTTAGAGCATTGTTTTAGGCAAGGTTTCCTTAATCTCTTAGAAATAAACCATGTGACTTCCTCCATAGTACATGGCCAGAGTTAAGCTTTGTGTGAGTAAATTCTCCATTTCTAATATGCACTTTACTTGAGTGAAATTGCTTAAGTTTAGATTGCTCCACTTTGGTGTGTGCTTGAAAAGTAGCCTAAATAAACCGGGGAGGGGGTACTTAAATATAAATTTCTGTCCATTTAGCCTCTGCCAGTTTTTAGTTTCCCGCTTCTCATAGGGTTTCGGTAGACATTCTTATTTCTCAATGTTTTTGGATAACTCCTCAACTCATCATTCAGAATCCCTTTAAAGGCCATAATACAAGGGGACTTGAAGAAGTTTTGTGGAATTATGGATGAGCTTATTTTGGTGAAAAATATATTTGAAATCCGTGTGCAGTTTTTCCGCAACTGCATTTTCCATGAACCTTTTGAAGGCTCCTTTATACCTTCCTCCTATACGTTCCTCCCCACTCTGAATGCTCTCTTCTCTATACATTGTCCACATTTCTGTTATGAAATCTATCAGATATATTGTGACTATTTCTTTATAGATCTGCATCTCTGTCTTTCAACAGTCATCGATCTATCTCTTCTATTACTTCTACATTTCTAGTGTCTTCATAGTATTTGGTACATAGCAGATGTTTACTAAATGTTGATCTATAGAAAATGAATTCCTTCTCTCACTCTTCCCCATTTTTGTACATTTTGCATTACTTTTAGTGTTTCTTAGGGAAAAAATTAGAAATTTTTGACATTTTGACTCTTCTTTGTGTTTCTTGCTTATCTTTCTGCCTATTTTATGATGGACAATTTGACACTATGACAGTGCCTCCTCTCCAGTAAATTGCCAGTGGGGTTCCTATACTCCTTGGTCAGAATGCAGTGGCTGTACCAAGACTCAGGTAGGATCATGCAAGACTTTGTTTCTTATTATTTATATACAGTATAGCTTAGGTTTGACCCAAATGGCATTAACTTTTGAATGTTCAATTAATGTTTTTTAAAATTTATGTTGATAATTTTGAAGGAGGAAAGGTTTGACTTGTTTACTAATTAATATTGTATTATAATAAAGTAATTTTTACATTCATTTATCTTGAACGACCTTTCTAAATCATACATGTGAGCAAGAAATGTACATAAACTAAAAGTTAAGAGCAACTCACCAGTTCTTGAACTATTGGAGGAACAGGAGTACCATGAAATGAAACTAGTAGATACTTCAAAATCTGTATCATACTCATTGGTTTCAACTTTTCTTTTCATTTAAAATGAACATTAGCAAATACAAAAATAGTGAATAATGAAACATAAAACATTTTCATTTTCAATGTTTTATAGTTTAATAACTAAGAATTACAAATAAATAATACATTAATATCCAGATTTCACCTGGCTGTTATAAAGTACTTCCAAAACGTCTGTCCTTTTTTGTGTGTGTGTGTGTTATTGTACAGTGTTTAATGAAGAAATTACAGAAATGTATGGAGAAAGGAAACACTGCTTTTTCTAAAAAGAGGTTTTTGCCTTAGGGCGTATGTGCTCACTGGGAGAGAGAGAGATAGAGACAGTAAAAGAGAAAGTGAGAAATCACCCCTGGGGGGATGTACACACCACAATCCCTTCTCCATTTTCCTCCTGGGATCGCAGGCACACATGTACATGTGACTTTCAAGCCACCAGGTCCAGGACTCAAACCATGGTCAGCCATGTGGGAGTCCAGTGACATAATCACTATACCATCTGCTGGCCCCAGAAAACCACTATTCTGAATTTACCATTCAGGAAAAATAAATATGTCAACATTGTGGTATTTATTCTTTCAGCCTATTTTTTTTCTCTTTGTACTTATAATTTTTTTTAAAAAAAGATTATTTGATTATAGTTTTGTATTCTATTTTGACTCTTTTAATCTAACATTATACAATTAGCATGAACCTCCAACAGCTGTATTGTGTTCTGTAGTATAAATATACCTGCCTTATCTACTTTCCATGGTTTGATATTTACATTGTTTCCATTTTAAAATTATTATACAGAAATACAATTTTATTGAACATTTTGTACAAAGATATCTGTCTTCCTGCCCCATAATTTTCTCAGAAATTCCTATAAATATAATGCTTGTTTTAAATGTTTTGAATATTTGAATGGCTAAGTATTTTTAAAGTGGTTCAATTTGGCGAGAAATATATATTTAAAAACTTTTTTTTAATTATAAAAAAATAGAACTATACTATAGAAGAGAATTTCTGTTTAAATACAATATAATTATCCTCATTTTCATGAAGCATTTATTTAATACATACATGTGTGGTGATTTTAAAACAAGTTACACAAAAGAAGAATTTGGCTTCTAACAAATATAATAGATGACAACTCTGCTTACAGGCAAGCAAGTATACAAATAATAAGATAAAAGCCAAAAAAACACAAAACACATGAAACATTTTATAATAAAAAAAAATAAGGCCAAACTCTATCAATAAATAAAAGTAGAGAAGTAGAATTTTCCATGTAAGTAGTATTTTTTTTTTTTTTGAGTGAAGGTCATTATATAATGAATACATCCCTAGATTGTACAAACAAAATTTTCATTCAGAAAGACACTAGTGAAAATGAAAAAGGGTCACAAGATCAGAATTTGACAGATGAGAATGAGAATGTTGAGAGTGGGCAGCTGCAGAGGGCACGCTGGTAATAAGGAAAGTGGAAACGTTCCTTAGGCAAACAACACAATCTGTGCTTTGGAACCTCTGAAAAGGACACAGTGAAAAACCACACATAAGAAATATTTTGTTCTAGCTGGTTATTGTGATGCTAGACACAAATATCTGAGACCTGGTTATTTATAAGAAGTTTACGTTTATTTAGGTTGTGATTTTTTTTAAAAAGAATGATTTTATTTAGCTTTATTAATTATCATTATTATTTTGATTTGACCAGAGAGAGAAAAAGAAGGATAGTGAGAAAGTAAGCCACTAGATCCAGGACTCGAACCACACTCTGCCATGTGGGAGTCCAGCGCCGCTAACAACCACACCACCTGCTGGCCCCTATTTCATGATTTTTGTGGCTTGAAACTCCAGTTGCATTGGGCCAGTATCTGGCGGGCTTCTGCTGCATCACAACATGGTGAAGAAAAGCACAAAGGTCAGTGGGCGCGTGAAGAGAGAGAGCACTACCTGTGTGCAGTCATCTTTTATAACAATCCCTTTTGGCAGAATCTAACCCTGTCTTATGAGAGTGAGAACGCACTTCCTGTTTTCAGAAACAGCGTTAATACACTCATGAAAGTGGTGATTTGAAGACATAAACCAGTGGTGCTCAACCCTTTTGGCACCAGGGATTGGTTTCGTGTAACGTGGATTTTCTGCAGACGTGGGGAGTGCTTTATGGAAGTGCGCTACCTAGATCTCTCTCATGCACAGTTCAGAACAGGTTTTGTGCCTCTATGAGAAACTAATGCTGTGGCTGAGCTGACAGGAGGCTGAGCTCAGGGGGTAATGTGGGAGATGGGGAGTGGTTTAAATACAGACAAAGCTTCACTGTACCTGCAGCTCAGCTCGTGCTGTGTGGCCAGTTCCTAACAGGCCATGAACTAGTACTGGTCTGTGGCTTGGGGTTTGGGGACTTCTGATCTAAACACCACCCTCTAAGCCTTGCCTTACCTCTTAAAGTTCTGACCATCTCCCAGTGCCATTACACTGAAGACCAAATATCAAACATAAATCTCTGGGGAACAAACCATTATCCAGACCATAACATGTCTTTCTTAATTAGAAACAGAAAATAAAATGTATCAAGGAACATTACTGGGTTTCATTCTCTGGGGCTCCTTTGCTTACACAGGGAAAGCACCAGAGTGACGCTCTGGCTGATACAAACCTGGTCAGGGTTGTTTTTTTAAAAATCACTAAAAAGTTTTTTTTTTTTTTAAATTTTATACATTCAATCCCTATACATCACTTTGCTTGTAAAATAAATTTACCCAACATGAATACACTTCATAGCAGTCCTGGTCAGAGTTTAAATTTCGTTACTATAACTCCATCGAAAGGAGTTCTTACTTTAAACTCAATTTAGGGTGGGTAAATAAATTCAGCATTGGTTTAAATATCTATACTTCCCTGCTGATCTTTGTTTGGGTTTAATCCTCTGGAAATTCATGTTTGGTTTATTTTTATTAATGGCAAAAAGATGAGGATAGGAAAAGGCCTAAAAGGTGCACCTTTGATTGACAATGGAGAGGAAAAGAATTTTGTAGGTCTTCCTTTTTGTTTAAATGTCAGATACATGTCTTCATATTAAGTGAAGATTAGATAAACTTTTGGAAGAATTGTAGGTTCCTTATTTAGCTTGATGATTTTCTTAATTTTTCTATACTTGGGAAAATCAAGAGGTTAATTTTTCATGTATTTCCCATTTCAGAGGTCAATGTTTTTGATTGTCTAGTAAAATTTCATCATAGATGTAGCTTTACCTTTGGACAACTTAGGTGTTTATTTTGTAAATTTGACTTCCATACTGGTATCTTTCTCTCCAGATTATTTTTCCTTGCCATGCCTTCCCAAAGAAGACTTAAGGTTTAGCTCCAATCGATTTTCACCACTTTTTAAAATGTTTTCTTAATTCTGCTTCATTTTAACCCCTTTCCCAATACTCTGTTCTTTTGCTAGCAAAATTCATTTTACCTTTTAAAATTAGCTCTAGATACACAGCTTTGGGAAAAAATAAATAATTCTGTATTGCAATCTATTTGTTTATGTGTTTGTTGAACTAAGCTTGACACTTTTGGTTTACTTTCCACTTTTTATTATAATTTTAATCGATGAATAATAATTATACACATTTATGGAGTCTGTGTGATATTTCTTCTCTTCTTTAAAAAAATTTTGTCAGAGAGTGTATGTCCTCGGGGAGGAAAGAATAAGAAAGCATGCTTCATGGGGGAATAGACTTGTTGCATTTCCTTCTCCTTCATTTTTTTCCTCCTGGATTTTGGGGACACTTGAACCTGCAACCAGTGTGTTTCTCAGGCCATCGCATCTATGCAAACTATGCAGTTGCTGATGTGGGATCTGGCTGCCTTAACCACTGTGCAATGGGCTAGCTTCAGTGTGGTTTTTCAATGTAAGTACATAATGTGTAATGATCAAATCAGGACAATAATCATAGCCTCCACCTCAAACATTTATCCTTACTTTGTGTTATAACATTCAACATTTTCTCTTCTAGGTATTTGAAGCATATATTGAATTGTCACCAACTATAGTTTCTCTGTTGGGCTATCATATTTTAAAACTTACTCTATTTATCTACTTGCACTCTTCTTTCAGTGGAAATCATTGACACATGGCTTTACAAGTATGATTCTATATAATAAATTATTTCTATTCTCTTTTTCCTCTCCCCTCCCTAGCTTCTGGTATCCATGGTTTCAGTCTCTACTTCTATGCAATCAAAGCTTTTAGCTTCCACTAATGAGTGAGAACATATGGTGTTTGTCTTTTACTGGCTGGCTTATTTAGCTTAACATAGTTTCCTCCAGGTTCATCCATTTTTGCTTCAAATGATGGGATCTTATCCTTTCTAATGGCTGAATAATATTCCATTGTGTATATCTGAGAGTCTTCACAAAGTTCATGAAAAGTCTGTATTATGGAAAAACCATGCTTGGATTTCAAATTTTTTTTTGCACCAAAATAAATTCATGCTAACTTGTTATAACATGTTTGAACATATTTGAGGCACTAGGAATGTTAATATATCAGTTTTAAAAGAGTCCCTATCAAAGCAGCATGAATTCTGCTAAAAATTGAAGCTAGAACAAACATTGAATTTATGGTGAAGCTTGAGTGGAAGAATTATGAAATCACTGAGGTTTTATTAAAGTTTTTATTAAAGCTGGACCAAAAACCTCAGCAGTTAACAAATAAATAAGAAAGGATATGATGGGGACCAGCAGATGGCATAATGGCTATGTCGCTGGATTCCCATGTAGTCAACTGCAGTTTGATTCCCAGACCCGGTGGCTTAAACTCATGCTGGGCATGTATGTGTGCATGCCCAAGACTCCAAGACAGAATGGAGGAGAAGGGATTGCAGCATGCCATCCCCCCGGGGGATGGTTTCTCGCTCTCTGTCTCTTTGTCTCTCTCTGTCTTTCTGGTGAGCACATGCGCCCTATAGCAAAAACCTCTCCAAAAAAAAAAAAAAAAAAGATATGATGATGTTGAAGATGACACTTGCAGTAGCAGACCATCTACATCAATTTGTGAGGAATAAATTAATCTTGTTTGGGTTCTAATTGAAAAGGACTGATGATTAGCAGCAGAAATAATAGCCAACACCATTGACATCTCAACTGGCCCAATTTACACAATTCTGACTGAAAAATGAAGGGGAGCAAACTTTCTGCTTGATGTGTGTCAAAACTGTTGCACCCAGGTCAGCTGCAGACAAGAACAGAGCTTTCAAAGGAAATTGTTAAAAAGTGGGATCGAGATTCTGAGCAGTTCTTGGAAGAATTGTGACAGGTGATGACACTTGGATTTACCAGTATGATTCTGAAGACAAAGCACAATCAACGCAATGAGTGAAAGAGGTGAAAGTGGTCCAACCCAACAAAGAGTAGACTGCTCAAGAGCAAAGGTCATGGCACAGTTTTTTTGCGGATGCTCAAGGCATTTTATTTGTTGACTTTCTGGAGGACCAAAGAATGATACCATCTTCTTATGAGAGTGTTCCGAGAAAGTTAGATAACGCTTTAGTAGAAGGATGCTCCAGAAAACACCGGAGAGTAGTTCTCCATCACAGTAATACTCTTGCTCTTTTCTCTCATTAATTTTGCAAGAATTTCAGTGGAAATCATTAGGCATCCACCTTACAATCCTGATTTGGCTTCTCCTGACTTTCTTGGCCTTTTAAAAAAATTTTCAAAGGACATTGTTTCTCTAACTGTATTAACTTCTTTCAGAATGTTTAATTAAAGGAAACTGGAAATATCAAAACAAAACAAACTAAACAAAACAAAACACTACCTATTTTGTTTAGACTCGTAGGCGGTCAGTTGCTGTTTATGGGCAATATGAGGGCCTACCTTGTGTCGGAAGTGCTTTTGAAACACAATCATGTGAACCTTCAAGAGGATGTCCCACAGAAGAGGGTTGTGGAGAGCGTTTCAGGTGTTTTTCAGGTAATTTGCTTTCCATAGCTCAATATTAAGATTGCAAATTCAGTAACTTGCTCAATATATATTCATTTAATTTTACTAAATTTACATTGATCTGTAAGTTAATATCCCCCAAATAGCAGCAGGACTTTTTGTTGGTATATTAATCACACACTTGGCTATCATTCTTTCAGATATTAGGAGGAGAATCTGGTAATAGAGATGGTTATATGCTTTGCTTCTTTGAATAGACATAAATAGTTATTGGCAGATGCAAACAATTCTTTTTTTTTTTTTTTTTTTGGAGAGGTTTTTGCTGCAGAGTGCATGCACTTGCCAGACAGAGAGAGACAGATAGAAAGTGAGAAATCACCCCCCAGGGGGGTTGGCTATGCCACAATCCCTTCTCCTCCATTCTCCTCTCGGGATCTTGGGCACACACGCACACACCTGGCGTGAGTTTTAAGCCACTGGGTCTGGGACGTGAACCATGGTCGACTATGTGGGAGTCTAGTGACATAGACATTATGCTAACTGCTGGTCCTGATACAAACAATTCTTGACATTGCATTTTTGGTGAGGATGTAGGATAATTTTGGCATGTACGCTGAGATTGGGCAAAAATAGTGTTACTGTTCACATTATTATGCTTATGAGAAAAGCAGCTCTAATTAGCTAATCAAGGAACAATAGGGGTCACCCCTATAGATGGAGTCATTGAAGCACAGTTTTGGCATTGCGTATTATTTGATCTATTGTTTATGTTTCACATATGCATTTAGATGAGTGTCAAAATGTTTGCATCCAAATTAGCTGCATATGAGCACAGAGCTTTCAATGGAAAAAAAATTGAAAAGTGAGAACAAAGTCCTGAAGCATTTCATGGAATTGTGATAGGAGATAACACATGGTTTTGCCAGTATGAGTCTGAGGACAAAGCACAATCAACAAAGCACAATCTTGGAGGCAGCAGCTACCAAGAGTCCGTCTCTTGGACTACATCCAAATAGCCCAAGATTAATTAACTTTCCATAAACATTTATCATTCTTATTATGTTCTAAATATAGTTGTGAAGATTGTAGATATAGAAATAAAACATAGTCACTTTCTCAAAAACAAAAAGTCTTGGCCCAGTCACTGTGGCACAGAGGTAAAACTCAGTACCCTACAAGATTGGAAGCCATGTGTTGACTAAGGTTTCAAATTCCTGGGTCTGCCTGGGAATACTTTGGGCACTTGAACAGGTCTCTAAGATCCTGAAGAATTGGAGACCCAGATGAGAGTGCTGTTTCTTTCTTACAGTGTGCTCATGCACTAGCCTGTTGAAACAATTAAAGTTTTATAGATAGAGCAATACGTAAACAATTTCTATGTTAGTAGGGGTCCTCAACAATATCTATGAAACTTTTATTTTACTTTTAAAATCCCAATTAGACGACATATCTTTGAGAGGCTTTCCTTAAATCCCCAACTGATAGAACTCATTAACAAATAACTCCTCTATCTTACCCATGCATATTATACCATCTGTAATCTGGATGATTTGTTTGACCTGCATGTATTTTTTTGGTAGACTGTGACCTCTTTGAAGAAACAGATTATATTTCTTTATTTTGACATCTGGAATGTCTGGTATATAATAGACTCTCAATAAATGTTTCCGATATTGAATTGAGTGACAGTACGGTGGGGAACATGTTATATATACTAATAGAACAATTGTGCATGAAACATCCTATAAGAACATGCATTAGAGCCTGTGAGGCATGGCTGCTTTTCAAGAGAAAATCATGTTTAATTTGACTCTTGAAGGACAAATATGAAAATGGTAGAAAAGTTCTTCTAGACAGAGTACTATAAGTGCAAGATCACTGGAGGTGACAGAAAGTCTAACTTTTTATTCATGCAAATGTTTCAGAATAACTAGAGAATAGAAAGGAGGACAATGGCTGGAGATAATACTGGGTAGGTACAGTACCTTCCAGTGCTTGGTACTCTAAGATTATGGATACCATAACAATTATTTTGCTAAATTATATGATCTATATCTTCATAATCTTTCCTGAGTATAAGAAAAGATTACAAAAAGTCTAGCAAAGGCCATTTTTATCCATATTTGTACCCAAAACCGAGAAGAGTATAGTGCAGAAAGTAAGTAATAAATATTGACTTTTGGGACCAGCAGTTGGCATAATAGCTATGTCGCTGGACTCCCATGTAGTCAACCATGGTTTGAGTCCTGAACCTGGTGGCTTAAACTCATGCCAGGTGCATGTGCGTACGTGCCCAGGATCCCAGGAGGAGAATGGAGGAGAAGGGATTGTGGCATGGCCATTCCCCCCTGGAGGGTGATTTCTCACTTTCTGTCTCTCTGTCTCTCTGGTGAGCGCACACTCCCTAAAGCAAAAACCTCTCAAAAAAATTAAAAGAAATGTTGACTTTTAACCTTTTGGCTTAGTTCCCATGCTCTCCAAACTTTTAAACATAAATCACCAAGAAAAGCACAATATTGACATCTTGGTTAGTGATGACAGAAAAGAACAGAAAGTTGAAAGGTAGGAGGTCACTCTATCTTCCCAGTAGTTGACATTGTATGATTTTGGGGGTTTAGACACTCTACTTGATTATTATGGTCAAGATTCTGGAATTTTGATCTTAGGTTCTATTTTCAATTCGGTGTTTGATTGAGACCAGGATCTGTTCTGTGTGGTGCAAAATGGAGGAAAAATAATCACCAGTTATTTCCTAGACACTGAAGATTTATTTCAAATTTGCATTAGAGTTATGAGTGCAGTGTTGAGTATGAGACACAAAAGTATTTTTGATCCTGGGTAATGTTTTCCTTCCCTTTTTTACATTTGCATGGGATCTTTTCTTGTGTTCAGGTCAGTGCATCAGCAAATCGCTGGTTTGCAATGGGGATTCTGACTGTGAAGAAGACAGCGCTGATGAAGACAGATGTGAGGACTCAGAAAGCAGACCTCTTTGTGACACTGATAAACCTCCTCCCAATGTAGAACTTACTGGAAATGGGTAAGTTGCTGGGCAGCCTCCTGAGTACATCTCAGGGATGTAGTTTTTATTTTGCTCTGTTTTAGTTTATGGTTTGGTAAATCTAATAAAAAATGACCTCAGAGTTAAGTATTTTCATTGGCTCATCCTGAAACAGATGTTTTTATTCATTCCTGTATGAAATAACGTGGAATACCTGCGTATCTACAGACCTGTGTATATATATGTGGAAACATGTCGAATGACTCACTGCCCTGGGAACAGTCCTGATTTTAGACTGAAAGTCTTGCATCTAGGAAAACCCCTCAGTTCCAAGGAAACCTGAATGATTGGTCACCCTACGGGGACAGGGACAGAGAAGAAGAGAGAGGGATGGAGGGAGAGAGAGAGAGAGAGAGAGAGAACTGATTCAATAATATGAAGCTACTTAAAAGTATGAAGAGACAATGGAACAAGAACAGGGAGAGATGAGGGAAGTGAATGTGTTGTGAGATCTAGCCTGGGAAAGTGGATTGCCTGAACTTCTTGCAGACCTCAGTTTTCATGAGGTTTGGCAAATTCTGTTTGTTTTTTCAGAAAGAATTCTGGGGAACTTCTAGTTGTCATAGGACCCCTAAAATCTTTAAAACAATCTATTTTAGAGTGATAGATGTAGTTTTACTCTTATATTTTAAAACTTATTGGATTGGGAATGCAAAGTGGATGGATTCTATTCAACCGGGTTCTCAGCCGGGCTATGGAACAGGTAAATGAGCTGAAAGAGAGAGGCAATAAGGCCCTGAGTGCCAGTAACATCGATGATGCCTTACAGTGCTATTCAGAAGCAATTAAGTTGGACCCCCAGAACCATGTGCTCTACAGCAATCAATCTGCAGCCTATGCCAAGAAAGGAGACTACCAGAGGGCTTATGAGGATGGCTGTAAAACTGTTGACCTAAAGCCCGATTGGGGCAAGGGTTATTCAAGAAAAGCAGCAGGTCTTGATTTCTTAAACTGATTTAAAGAAGCCAAGCGAACCTATGAGGAGGGTTTAAAACATGAAGCAAATAACTCTCAACTTAAAAAGGGTTTACACAACATGGAAGCCCAATTGGCAGAAAGGAAATTCATGAACCCTTTCAACATACCCAATCTGTATCAGAAGTTGGAGAGTGATCCCAGGACAAGAAGAGCACTGCTCAGTGATTAAGTACTGGGAACTTACCGAGCAACTATGAAACAAACCCTCTGACCTGGGCCCGAAACTATAAGATCCCCGAATCATGACCACATTCAGTGTCCCCCTTGGAGTGGATCTGGACAGTATGGATGAGGAGGAAGAGGTTGCAACACCACCACCTCCTCCTCATCCCAAAAAGAAGACCAAATCTGAGCCAATGGAAGAAGATCTTCCAGAGAATAAGAAGCAGGCACTGAAAGAAAAAGAGCAGGAGAATGATGCTTACAAAAAGAAAGATTTTGACACAACCTTGAAGCATTATAACCAAGCCAAGGAACTTGACCCCACCAATATGACTTACATCACCAATCAAGCAGCGGTATTCTTTGCAAAGGGTGACTAAAATAAATGCTGAGAGCTGTGTGAGAAAGCCATTAAAGTGGGGAGAGAAAACTGAGAGGACTATCGACAAATTACCAAAGCTTATGCTCGAATTGGCAACTCCTATTTCAAAGAAGAGAAGTACAAGGATGCTATACATTTCTACAAGTCTCTGGCAGAACACTGAACCCCAGATGTGCTCAAAAAATGCCAGCAGGCTGAGAAAATTCTGAAGGAGCAAGAATGACTGGCCTACATAAACTCTGACCCGGCTTTGGAGGAGAAGAACAAAGGCAATGAGTGTTTTCAGAAAGGGGACTGTCCCTAGGCCATGCAGCATTATACAGAAGCCATCAAACAGAGCCTACGGGATGCCAAATTGTACAGTAACCGAGCTGCCTGATACACCAAGCTCCTGGAGTTTCAGCTAGCACTTAAGGACTGTGAGGAGTGTATCCAGCTGGAGCCAAACTTCATCAAGGGTTACACACGGCAAGCAGCAGGCCTCAAAGCAATGGACTACACGAAAGCCATGGATGTATACCAAAAGGCATTAGACCTAGACTCCAACAGTAAGGAGGCAGCAGATGGTTACCAACGCTGCATGATGTCCTAGTACAACCGCCCGACAGTCCTGAAGATGTAAAGCGGCAGGCCATGGACAATGTAGAGGTGCAGCAGATTATGGGTGACTCAGTCATGAGGCTCATCCTGGAACAGATGCAGAAGGATCCCCAGGTGCTCAACAAACACTTTAAAAATCCTGAAATGGCGCAGAAGATCCAGAAGCTGGTGGACGTGGATCTGACCGCAATTCAGGGATGACTTGCTCATCCCCCTTCCCTTTACCCTTTTGTGGAAAATGGAGCTGGGACGGCAGCAAGGAGCATGGAGCAGAAGGGATAGAAAGGAGAAAGAGAACAACTTATCTCTATATATTTATACATACCCATATGGAAAACACAGAGACTTAGACTTGAATTACTCGTACAGCTGCTGTCTCTGGGCCCTCCCTCCCAGCACACACATGGTCTCTGCACTGCTGCCCTGGAGTTCCGTGTCTCCCTCCCCTGCCCCAAAGTTGCTGTCTTGGCAGCTCTCCCATAGTTGGTTATTTTTTATTTGGGGCAGTGTATGTGTATGGGGTGGGGAGGGTGTTCTTCCCAATGTCAGGTCCCATCTGTCTTCACATTGTTAACTCCATGATCCCTTCTCCAATAAAACAAGTCAGTCAGGCGTGGTTATTAAAAAAAAAAAACAAAAAACAAAAACCAAACCAAACCAAAACAAAACAAAACCCACCAAAAAAAAAAACAAAACCAAAACAAAACAAAACAACAAAAAACAAAACAAAAATTATTAATAGATTGAGTAAAATTACTTTATAGTGGATGCCACTCAACATATTAAGAGGCAATTAGTTGAAATTTGTGGTAGAGAGCTTTCTCTTCTCCAGAGCAACTTTAATTATATTGATTTATCTATAGATTCAATTCAAAACTAGCTGTTGCCATAGACACAATGGGGCTACAGTGTGTTTCTCAGATATGCTTTTAGGCTGAAAGGATGTTGGATTCTCCCAGCTATTAGATTTAACTGTTAAACCAAGCATCAGAGGTTGGATAATGAATGGTGTGTGTTAGAATGCTATTTTCTTTATTTGGGTTCTCTCTAAAGAAAGAGCTTAACTTTGCTGTATTTTAAGAATTCCTAGAGTTTTCTAATGAGGGCTTTTCAACAAATGCTATTTCTGATTTTTAATTATCTTATCTTTTCTCCTTCTCTGCCTCCTGCCTTCTTTTTAACAGTTACAATGCACTCACTGACCAGTTTAGGAAGAAAGTCATCAATACCAAGAGTTTTGGTGGTCAATGTAGAAAGGTGTTTAGTGGGGATGGAAGAGATTTCTACAGACTGAGTGGAAATGTCCTTTCTCATACATTTCAGGTACTTAGTTACATTGATTTAAATGGTTTATAATATCTGAATTGTTAGAGATCAATGTTAATATGATACTGACTTTTTGGTATTATTAAGAATTTATTGATGTGTGAAAGAGTAGAGTCTGAGGAAGGACATTTAGAAGAAAAATAGAAAGACAAAACATTAATGGGACAAAGAAATTTGGTATAATCTGTTAAAGATAATTTTATAGTTTTATCAACTGGACTAGGGAGAAATGTTCACCTGTTGAAATATTAATTTTGTAAGCTAAATAACATGATTGAATGTATAAAAGGAAATAAAATAAAAAAATTTTAAAGAATTTGCTAATGGCTAAGATATAGCTAATTTTTCTAAATGTTTTTTGTGGACTTAAGAATGCAAGTTTTTAAACTCTTGGATATAGGACAATGCATCATTTAACTTGTGTCATTCAAGTTAACATATCCTCATGTCTTATTTTCAGCTCCAAATCCCATACAGGTTCAGGACTTTATCACCTGTCCCTGCATGGGTGTTAAAACTCAAGGTCCTCGGGACCAGCAGTTAGCGTAATGGCTATGACGCTGGACTCCCATGTAGTCGACCGTGGTTCGAGTTCCAGATCCAGTGGCTTAAACTCACGCCGGCCGTGTGTGCATGCATGCCCAAGATCCTGAGAGGAGAATGGGGGAGAAGGGATTGCGGCGTGGCCATCCCCCCTGGGGGATGATTTCTTGCTTTCTGTCTCTCTGTCTCTCTCTGGCTTTCTGGTGAGCACACGCGTATAAAAAAAACCCCCCAAAAAAAAAAAAAAAAAAAAAAAAAAGAGAGAGGAAAAAAAAAAGAGAAAAAAAACCAAAAACAAAAAATCCTCAAGGTCCTGGGAGCAGTAGGTGGTGTGTTGGTTAAGTGCTAGACTCCCACATGGCCAATTACTGTTTGAGTCCTGGACCTGGAGGTTTGCTTTCTCATTTTCTTTCTCTTTCTCCCTCTTTGTCTCTCTCTGGTGTACACACATATCCTATTGAAATTTTTTTTTTTTTTGAGGGGGTTTTTGTTTAAGGGCCCGGGCACTAGACAGACAAAGAGAGATAGAGAGACAGAAACTGAGAAATCACCCCCCAGGGGGATTGGCCACACCACAATCCCTTCTCCATTCTCCTCTCGGGATCTTGGGCACGCACGCACACGCGCCCAGTGTGAGTTTAAGCCACTAGGTCCGGGACTCAAACCATGGTCAACTATGTGGGAGTCTAGCGACATAGCAATTATGCTAACTGCTGGTCCCCTCCTATTGCACATTTTAAAAATAGTAATAATAAATAAAAATAAAATAAATAATTATTATAAAACAAAAACAAAAACAAAACCTCAAGGTCCTGGGCCAGCAGGTATGTGGTGGTTAAGGCACTGGACTCCTACATGAGCGTCTACAATTTGAGCCCTGGATCTGGCAGCTTGCTTCCTCATTTTCAAAAAAAAATTTTTAATTTTTTTATTTGCTTCTTCATTTTTCCTCTCTCTCTCTCTGATGAGTGTACATGCCCTATAGCAAATCAGTAAAATAACAATAATAATAAAAATAAAATTAAATAATTCTTTCAAAAAACCTCTCAAAGACCTGTTTGTATATATTACAACAACCTCATTACATTGCCACAATGTCAACTCACCTAAAGATATTTTTATTTTTAAGTAATGAAATATGGTATAAATAGAAAAGAGCATGCATAACTAGATGCAATTTAAAGAAAATTAATAAAACAAATGCCCATATAAGCCCATCACCAACTTTAAGAAGTAAGACATTGCTGGTGATGGGACCAGCAGTTAGCGTAATGGCTGTGCCGCTGGACTCCCACGTAGTCGACTGCGGTTCGCATCCCGGACCCGGTGGCTTAAAACTCACGCCGGGCGCTTGTGCGTGCGTGCCCAAGATCCCGAGAGGAGAATGGAGGAGAAGGGATTGGGGCGTGGTCATCCCCCCCTGGGGGGTGATTTCTCGCTTTCTGTCTCTCTGTCTCTCTCTGTCTGTCTGGCGAGCGAACGCGCCCTGTAGCAAAAACCTCTCCAAAAAAAGAAAAAAAAAATCAATCAAAGACATTGCTCGTGATTTAAATGCTTCTATGTGGCCCTCTCTGATTATATCCCTCCCACCCGCTACAAGCAACCATTATATTGTATTTTGCATTACTCATTTCCTTGTTTATCTGTGAATATTTATTCTATACATGTCTTCATCCCCAAATAAAAATTTATGATATATTTTTGCTTTGGTTTTTCCATTTACATACATAGAATTATACAGTATATATTCTTCTATGGCCTATTTTTTTCACTCAAAACTATGGTTTTGAGATTTAACCTTTATAAATTATTATTATTATATATTTTTAGAGGTCTTTGCTGTAGGATCCATGTGCTTGCTGGAGAAAGAGAGACACAGAGACAGTGAGAGGGAAAGTGAGAAATCATCACCCCCCCCCAAGTTGTAGGATGGTCACGCTTCTTTCCCTTCTCCTCCATTCTCCTCCTGAGGTCTTGGACACACATGCACATACACCCAACATGATTTTTAAGCCACCGGGTCTGAGACTCAAACCACAGTCTGCTATGTAAGAGTCCAGCAATGTAACCATTATGCCATCTGCTGATCCTCCTTCATATATTCTAAAGCATGTGGTGAGAGTGAGAGCAAGAGAGATATGAGCACCCATTCACAGGGTCTGGCCATGCCTCGATCCCCTTCCTCTAGTTCTCCAGCTCATCAGATCCTGGGCACTCATGCACTTGCTGGGTGTATTTCAGGCTGACTCTCTGGGTATTTGAACCCCAGTCACCATGTGGGATCCAGCTTCTCTTGGGTAATGCCTTAGGGAGCTGGTCCGGTTTTGAGATTTATTCATATCGATACAGATGGAATTTTTATTGTTGTTTCTATTTTTATTTTATTTTTTTTATGAAAACTCCTTGAACATTCTTGTGCATGAGCCTATACAAATGAGCTAGAGGTTTTCCAGGGCATACACCTGGAATTTATGTTGCTGCTTTCTAGGTTATATAAATACTGTTAGTAGGTAAATTTTCTAAAATGGCTGTGTGAGTATGTATCCCTGCCAGGAGTGCAAAAGAGTGGCCTCTTCTCCACATTCTTGCCAACACTCATATTGCCTGTCTTCCTAATTTTGCTTATGATCTCAGGGTCTTCTCTGGCTCCAGACTCCCATTATAGAGTGCTCTTTCTGCCATGAACACTTAAATTCATGCTGTTCCTTGATTTCAATACAAAATATACTTACCCAAAGGAATTATGACTTTAGGGAACTTTCCTGAAGACTTAGAGGGAAGACAGAGGACAGACTTTCTAATATAGCAGTGTAAACAGGTTCATGGAATGAGAGTTGGTACTTTCTATCTTAAAAATGTTCTTTCTGGGAACCAGCAGTTAGTGTAATGGCTATGTTGCTGGACTCCCACATAGTCAACCACGGTTCGCGTCCCGGACCCGGTGGCTTAAAACTCATGCCGTGCACGTGTGCGTACGTGCCCAAGATCCAGAGAGGAGAATGGAGGAAAAGGGATTGCGGAGTGACCATCCCCCCTGGGGGGTGATTTCTCGCTTTCTGTCTCTCTGTCTCTCTCTGTCTGTCTGGCGAATGCACGCGCCCTGTAGCGAAAATTTCTCAAAAAAAAAAAAAAGTTCTTTCTGAGACTCATTCTGCTTTATCATCTTTTTTGCTCTCCTCTTTCAAGTTCCATCCCCCTACTTCTTTTTTCTCCTTTCCTCCCAGAACTCCCAACACTTGCAGTTTAGATCTCCTCTTATAGTCTCCAATGTGTAGACCGAAACTACTAAGATATTTAGAGAGAGGGGCCTTTTGTTTACCCAAATCAACTCTCTCCCTCCAAGAAAGCAGTTTTGTTTATAAATAGCAAACTCACCATTCTCCAACTTACAATACAACAAATTACATTTAAGAGTTATTGAATCATTAAAATGAAAAGTAAAACTAATCTGAAAAATAATAATAACTCCCAACTTTTGAATATCTATAGAGTGTCATTTGCACTATTTTAGTCAATTAGTACAGGTTCAATCTTCACAATAGCCTTGGAAGGTAAATAATATTTTGCTAATATATATGTAGATGTCGAGGCTCAGAGGACTTCAGCTGACTTACTACAAGTCACCAAATTACTAAATAGTAGAGCTTGGACCCAACCTGTCAGATTTCACAGCTCTTTATATTTCTATTACATTTCACTCTCCCCATGTATTGTGTTTAACTTATTTTTCAACTTTTAATTCTACGTGGCAAATAATATGTATTTTAATTTACCTTTTGGCCAGAAGGAAGAAGGTGAAGTAGGCATATCTAGAGAATTTTTTCTTCCTCTGTTGTGAAGAGGATGTGTTGCTAATTCTTTGATAATTATAAGAGGAAGAATTGCATATGCGTGTGTATATATATATATGTGTATATATATATATATGTGTATATATATATATATATATAGAGAGAGAGAGAGAGAGAGAGAGTTTTCAAAATTTATTTTATAAGCAAGAGAGGAAAAGAGAGAGAGAGAGAGAGAAAGAGAGAAAGAGAAAGGAACTCAGCAGTACTGAGTGCTGTTTTGAGATGTGTTCATTGTTTGGAAAGACGTTGTTGACAACCTTAGTGGAAGTCAGACCATTGTAGGTGAAAGAGTGAATAGGAGGTGAGGACATTAAGACAGTTATAGTCAACTCATTTAAGGCAGTGATCTGGGAAAGAAGGGTGGTAGCTAAAGAGGGAATACACAGTAACAGGAAAACTGTTTCTCAGTTGGTGGGATTAGATTGTGTAAAAGTGTTGATAAAATGAGCCACTAGAGAAAGCACAACTGAAGCCGTAAGGGAGGAAGTAATCAATTTAGTCCTTTGAAGAGGTAGGTGGGAACACAATACAGAGGAGATGGAATTAGCTTAAGACAGGAAAAACAAGACTTGTGGCGGAAAAGAAAAAGAAATGTTAAAAAGTTTATAGATTTGTTAGCCAGAAGTTTGAGAGGTCTCTATACAAAAGTGGGAATGTTTGTAAAGAAACAAGTAAAGTCATTTTCTGAAGTGAAAGATGTGGTTTTAGGGATGGGAGAGTGAGGTAGGTATAGAATTTTGAAATAGTTACTGTAGAGAATGGGAAGAGAAAGAACTGACTAGAGAAATATTGGATTGTTGGACAGTATTGAGGATTTCATTCTGATTGAAAAATCTGAACAGGTTTTCAGTGGCATCAGTCTATAGAGTTGTGTGATTTTTCTCTATAATCACATGAAGCCGCTTGACTGTAAACGTTGAGTCATGTGTGTGGGTGTTTTTTTTTTTTTTTTCCCAGGTAAACATGATAACAGGACATTTAGTCAAGTAAATTAAGTTTATTGGCAAGAGGATGGTTGAAGTCATGAACCATGAAAGCTAAACTGCAACTGGAAGGAAGAGAATAAGTTAAAGAACTTATCCCTACAAAGTTAAATAAATAGAAGTGGCAAACATAGAATGAGAATCAGAAAAGCAACAGTGTCAGAGTGTAAGATGTTTGAGTTTCTGATTTCAGAGAAAGGATCAGCCATTTATTATTTAGGATTAAGCTCAAAGAAAGAGGGTATTAATTAAGAAAAACTTAATAAAATCACACTACCTTGAGAAAAATGATTCTCGCACTATGAGTAGAGTAAATGAGAGTGAGGAGATGCTGTATTAGAGCAGCCAAGAGGCTTATTTGCATAAATTGGGAATAAAATATTTGAATTGTTCATCTAAAGATAGGAGAAAATAGGCTAATTTATGTTTTTATTTCTTTATTGCATTGAAAAGGAGATAAAACTGAACTCTGTGCCTATCCAAAACTTAGTACTTAGACACTCTCTAGTGACTGCAGAAATCTCTAATAGCACTTTGAATAATGCCTCTTTTTAGTCAATAATTATACCTATATATTTCATCCTAAGTTGAATTTTTCTTTCAATTTTTAAAAATTCATAATAGGGTGTGTACCTATGCACTAGAGAGAGAAAGGGAAAGAGAGGGATACAGAAATTGGCAAACACCCTCCGTAGGACTTGGACATACTCTAACCCCTTTCCTCCAGTCCTCCAGCCTGTGAGGATCTTGGGCAAATGCCCTGTATATTTTCAGACTGATTAGGTTGGGGGTTCAATCTGCAGTTGACATGTGGCTTCCAGTGCCATAGTCCAGCATGCTACTGACTGCACCACAGAGGCTGTATTTTCATCTAATTTTTTAACAAATCAATTTCATAATGTAATGAAAATAATAGCTGAATAAAAGTTCTGACCAAATCTATCCCTTCTTATCGCCTGGCATGTTTTTAGCGTACATGCCTAATGTTCAATATGGCATAGTGGTAAAAATCGTATACATTTTTCACCACTTTGTTTCTTTCTATTTCTCTATTTCTTTTCTTCTTTTCTCCTCCTCCTCTTCTTCTTCTTCTTTTAGTTTTGCTAGAAAGTATGTGCACTTGCCAGAGAGATGGAGAGACTGGGAGAAAGACAGGGAAGGAGAAAGCATCCTTTAATGGGGCATGGTCACACCACAATTTCTTCATTCTATTGGAATTTTGGGCATGATGTACACGTGCCTAGTGAGTTTGTCAAGCCACTGGGGCTGAAATTTGAACTACAATAGGTCAAATGAGATCCAACTCTCTTTTTTTTGAGAGAGGTTTCTGTCATAAGGCACATGTGCTTGCTGGGAAGAGAGAGAGAGAGAGAATGAGAGAGAGAGAGAGGAGAAACAAGAAATCACTCCCCTGGGGGATGATCATGCTGCAATCCCTTGTCCTCCATTCTCCTCTCAGGATTTTGGGCACACATGCACATGTGCTTGGTGTGAGTTTTAAGCCATAAGGTCTGGGACTCAAACCGTGGTTGACTACATGGAATTAGAACGATATAACCATTATGCCATCTGCTGGTCCCAAGATCTAGTTCTCTTAACCACGGGGCTATGAGACCAGCCCTGAACTCTTTTTATACTCTGCAGACTTGGTATTAATGATAATCACAGTTGTTTTGTGTAAATGAAGAATATTGTCTTTTTGGGAAGGTTATATGATGAATGTGCCCATGTTAAAGGATTCATAATGAAATATCTTGAGAGTATTTGAGGCCTTAATTTGCTCACAGAAAAATTTTTCGTTTTTTGTAGGTGAAAGTAGATAACGATTTTAATTATGAATTTTACAACAGTAGTTGGTCTTATGTAAAACATACGTTCAACACGTATTCATCAGCTACTAGTAGAAGTTCCCTTTTCAGTTCGTCATCATCTGGTTCATTCCATTTTACTTCACATACCAATGAAATACATAAAAAAAAGGTCAGTATGAAACATCAGCTAACCTTTCCATATTTGACTTGTTTTAAGTATTGTTAAGATTAACAAAAGTGTATTTACTAAAAAGATTAGCTTTCATTTGTAAATTAAGGCAACAGTTTATCACAAGAGGCAATTTAATAATATTTCTTTAAAAGGTACATGCTAATCCTTTTTGTAATATATCAATATTTATGCTTTTTATTTTCTTACTGAAGTATATCTTAAGATAATAAGACCTTATAAAATAATTAAGTTAATAATACCTATATAATTATTTTTATAAGACTTCCAAACTATTCTAAATTCCTCATTTGTTATTACTGATGCTGTTATCTTAAGTATTATAAACAATGTTAAAAAATCCAATTAATAATTATATGTGCTTTCTAAATGCGAATGCTAGAATCTTTTAAAAATATTTTGAAAACACTTTATTATTTTACTTTTGAGATACCAAATTTTCATCTTGAGGAAGTTAAAAGACTTGTTTTTAAATACTTCATTGTTTTGAGATACCAAAACTTTCATCTTGGGAAATCTGACTGGGTGAGATGAATTGTACTAATTGATAAACACTGCTGAAGAATCACTCAGGCTGAGCACTATTCACAATCTATGTATTTCGTCTCATTCTTAAAGTCAGTAACTTGATTAATAAATCACACAAGGGCAATATAAGGAATATTGATTTCATTAGTTTTATGACTAAGAAGCTAACTGTGGGAATATGAACTGTAAAAATACTTACCATCACCGTTTTATATTGCTCACATAATGGGAATTTGGTATAAGGTAGTTCTGCCTTGAATGTCATTAATTGCATAGGGAACATTTAAAGATCTCATTTTAAAGTGTCATAATCTGCAACTATCCCAGAATGGGAAATGAATTGTATACTCACCCTACCTATGTATCATAGTCTAGATGAGGACTCTAGGGACACATTATTTTATATACTTATTTGTGGAATTACTTAGCTGTTGATGAAGTCAATTCTCTTTTTCTTTCTTTCTCTCTCTCTCTCTCTCTCTCTCTTTTAAGTTTTGCTGTAGAATGTATGCACTTGCTGGAGAGAGCAAGAGAGAGAAAGAGAGAGAGTGAAAAATCATCTCCAACCTCCCATTCTCCTCTCAGAATTTTTGTGCATGCTTGCACATGTACCCAGTGTGTTTCTCAAGCCACTGGGTCTTGGACTTGAACCACTTTAATTGGACATGTGGGATTCAACTGCCTTAACCACCATGCCACCTGTTGGCCCCCAGTTGGTTCTTACATTCTAGTTGAGGGCAGGGCAACTTGGTCTTTGGGACTTTGAAGACATATATAAAAGAAATTATCCTAATATCATTAATATATTATTCCTACTCAGAGCTTCAAAAATTCCTTAGATTTCTCCAAGAAAGTGGGCCCTGAACTGTCTTCATAATGTGTTAAAAATAAAAATTCATACTGTCTGGCTTTATTGGAGGTTGTAATTAATGGAGACAGTGAGCAGGGACTTATTTCCATTGCTTTTGTTATCTGTCACCTAAAGTTACTCTTTCTTCTTTGTGTAGAGTTATCAAATGATGGTGATTCAGAACACTGTGGAAGTGGCTCAATTCATTAATAACAATCCGGAATTTTTACAACTTGCTGAGCCATTCTGGAAGGAACTCTCCTACCTTCCCTCTTTGTATGACTACAGTGCCTACCGAAGATTAATTGACCAGTATGGAACACACTATCTGCAGTCGGGGTCCTTAGGAGGAGAATACAGAGTTTTATTTTATATGGACTCAGAAAAAATCAAACAAAGTGGTACAGTATTTAAACATTTTTATCTAAAAAATTTCAGGGATTTTAATGTGAGGAATATTTTAAGAACCAGCTTTTGGAGTATATAGTAGGTGGGCTAGAAGTCATCATACTCCTAGTTTTATCTATTTGTTTTATGCCTAAGAAGCTGACTGTGAATGGGCAGAAGGTATCACTCTTTAGGGGTGTTCTGGCTCCACTCCCTCCACTGCTCCATGTAGAAGTCATTTCCATTCCTCCCTTCTCTGACCAGAGCTAATAGAAGAGAAATAACAACAATGTCCTTTTCTGACCTCTGATCCTTCTAGAGCACTTGTAAAGGTACCTGTGCTGGCATGCTTGATTAGATGGCTACAGGAGCAGGAAACAACTTTTTATCCCCACTGCCACACTGACTGCACCTCAAAGGAGGTCTGTAATGAACACAGAAATTAAACACATCCCTTCAAAACTTTTTTCCCCCAGGTTTTGATTCCCTAGAGGGGCAGAAATGCAGTTCTTCAAGTTTTAGTTTTTTTGTGACGTCATCACAGAAGGAGTGCAAAGAACTGAAAGATGCTATAAAATCAGCAGCAGGTAAATGAGAGGCAGTGATTTTACATGCCAAGCTTAACTTCTAGGCCTTCTCCGTCTTGTGTTTAATACCTGTTCTCCAAAAGCTTCTGAAGGTATAGCAGGTGTTTCTCTTTGTGTTCTTCATCTATCTGGTTGTTTTTGCTCATGACCTCCCTTTTGTGTGTCATGGCAGTGAGACATCAAGCACGGGGTGGTGCTGGGGCAGAAGCAGCTCACTACGTATCTCCCCTGTACTGTAAAGATGCTCTCAGTGTATGTTACCTTCCTCCCCTACGACAGCTGAGAAAGAAGCTTAGAAAAATGACAATATCAGAAAAGGTTCAGTTTGACTCTGGGATATAGATACTCAGTGCAATTGAAGTTTTCAGTGCAAGCTGATGGTGGTGGGGAAGGTGGGGGAGGTAGAGTTCTAGTCTTTGGGTGATTGAAGAAGGATCTGGAAAAGTAAGCTGATCTAAACTGTGAAAGTACCATATTAGGCTCTTTGGATTTCTTTCTAATGCATATAAATGCCACTAAAAATTATAATACAGGGAATGATTAAATGAAAGATGATGTAGGTAAGGTTATGAGAAAGAAGAGAAATGGGGGGGCGTAGAGTGAGCTTGAAAGGTGAGCTCAATGGGTTGTAGAGAAGTACATTACTTTATTGAATCAATGGTTTCAGGGCTGGCGGGTGGCTTGGTGATAAGGTGCTAGACCCTCACATGGCTGACCATGACTCCAGTACCAGAACTGGCTGCTTGCTTTCTCACTTTCCGTTTTTCTCTCTGTCTCTCTCGACAAATTTAAACATGACAACAACAAATAAAATTAAAATAATACATAATTACTTAAAAAAATCTATAGTTTTTAAAAGGGTGTGTCATGAAGACAGTGATTCTCAAACTTTAATATACATAAAGATCACCTGAGGAAGCCTGTTAAATGTTGATTCCAAGACTTATCCTCCTTATTTTACTCATTTATTAATTTTTTTTAAGAGAAAGAGTTTTGCTTTAGGGCCCATGCACTTGCCAGAGAGACAGAGAGACAGAAAGCAAGAAATCACTCCCCAGGTGTGATGGCCACACCACAATCCCTTCTCCTCCATTCTCCTCTGAGGAATTTGGGCACACACATAAATGCACCGTGTGTTTTTTTTTTTAAACACTTTTTTTTAAGAGAGATTTTTGCTATAGGGCATGTGTGCTCACTAGAGAGACAGAGACAAAGAAAAAGGAGATGAGAGATCATCCCCCAGGGGTATGGCCATGTCATAATCCCTTCTCCTCTATTTTCCTCTTGGGATTTTGGGCACACACACACGTGTACCTGGTGTGAGTTTGAAGCTGCTGAGTCCAGGACTTGAACCGCTGTTGACAACGTGGAGTCCAACGATGTAACCATTATGCCACCCACTGGTCCTGTGCCCAGTGTGTTTTAAGCCACTGGATTTGGGACTCTGACAGTGGAGGCCTACATGAGAGTCCAGCAATGTAACCATTACACCATCTGCTGGTCCCCTGGGCTTATCCTTGTTAATATTCTCTCATAGCTCTTGGTTGGGGCTCAGAAACCTACAATCACTGTGATTTAATAGTTTAGGGACTGGACTTTGTATTCATTGCATTAATATGGTAACAATTTGCATATGAAGACATAATAATAAAAAGGAGAACATATGTGGCCATTTATTAAAAATGTCAGGCTTTAATTATTTCTTTTTTTTTCTTTTTTCTTTTTCTTTTTTTTTTTTTGGAGAGGTTTTTGCTATAGGGCGCGTGCACTTGCCAGCCAGACAGAGAGAGACAGAGATAGAAAGCGAGAAATCACCCCCTGGGGGTATGGCCACACTGCAATCCCTTCTCCTCCATTCTCCTCTCGGGATCTTGGGCACGCACGCACATGCGCCCGGCGTGAGTTTTAAGCCACCAGGTCCGGGACTCGAACTGCGGTCGACTACGTGGGAGTTCAGCGACATAGCATCACACCATCTGCTGGTCCTAGGCTTTAATTATTTCTGATTATAAATGTACATTATCTTCCTTTAATGAAATTGCAAAATTTGAACAGTTACAGAAAAGGTAATGGAAATTGCTAAAAATCTAATCTGTAAAATTATGAATTTCTTTTTTTTTTTTTTTTTGAGAGGTTTTTGCTATAGGGCGCATGTGCTCGCCAGACAGACAGAGAGAGACATAGAGACAGAAAGTGAGAAATCACCCCCCAGGGGGGATGGTCACGCTGCAATCCCTTCTCCTCCATTCTCTTCTTGGGATCTTGGGCATGCACGCACACGCGCCCGGTGTGAGTTTTAAGCCACTGGGTCCCGGACGTGAACCACGGTCGACTACGTGAGAGTCCAGCGACATAGCCATTACGCTAACTGCTGGTTCCCAAGATTATGAATTTCTAATCATGACTTGTGTAAAAATCAGTTAAGATGCAGATAAAAATATTTTTTAAGTCATGAGACACATAAATAGAAAAAAGAGTTCAGTTAGCATTCAAACATTTCAGGACACCTTCATGTATTAGGGAATGTATTCCAGTTAATTAATAGCCTTTTTGTTTATTGTTAGCATATTGGATGCAATAAACTGTTTTCCCATGAAAATTTTCCAACATACAGAAAAGTTGAGAGAACATGCTAACAGATATCCATATATCTATATATAATTATTATATTGACATTTTGTTTCATATTTACATATAACATTTATAATGTTGAGTGATGCTGATGGCAAGGTGGTTGAAGTGACTAGATTCTTCATGGCTGACTGCATGGTTTGAGTCCCAGACTTGGCAGCTTGAGACACATGACAGGTACATGTGCCTTTTGTGTCCAAAATCACAAAAAGAAGGTGAAGTGGAGAAAAAAGAATTGCAATATGACTATACCCCATGATGGGTGCTTTCTAGCTTTCTCTCCTCACCCCCCGTCTCTCTCCAGCAAGCATAGTTATCCTCTGACAAATTAAAAAAAAAATCCAAAATATTCATAGGCCTTATTGTTTAGAACAGTTTCAGTTTACAGCACAATTTAGTGAAAGTACAGAGAGTAATAATACACTCCCTTTCCTACACATGAAAAGTCTCCCCAGCTATCAACACTTTTCACCAGAGTGGAACATTTGCTGTGAAGATAAATCTTCATTGGCACATCATTATCTCCTCAAGTCCGTAGTTTATAGTAGGCTCATTCTTCTACGCTATATGAGTTTCGACAAGTAGGTATGATGCTACATATCCCCCATTGTAGTATTTCATGGGGTCCTCTGTGCTCTGCCCATTCATTTTTTGCTCTTCCTTGGACCATCACTCGTCTTTCTACTGTCTCTGTAGCTTTGCTTTTTCTAGATTATTGTAGTTTGATGGCGTATTATGTCTTAATATCTGATTGACTTTGTTTTCTTTTTCATTTTGCTGTGTATCCTGACTTAGTTCATTTGATTTTTTATTTGTAGGAACCCAGGGCAATGTGTTGCAAGGAAATTCATTTGTCAGAGGAGGAAGTATAAACTTCGCATCTGGCCTTGCTTATCTAGAGCTGGACAATCCTGCTGGAAACAAGGAGCGATATTCTACCTGGGCACGCTCTGTGACTGATAATCCTGAAGTCATAAAACAAAAGGTATGTGGTACTCTATTTAAAACTGTAGAAAGCAGTCATGTTTGTTTGCATTAGAAAATGAGATTAAGTCATGGTAGTTAAACAGAGACAGCTGTAATTAGCATTTTCTGTATCCCAATTATGTCTTATATAGTAAAACGATGGCATACATGATAATAAGAAACAGAAAGGGTATGTTCATATTTCAGTTGGAAAGGTTAAGTGTCTTGTAAACCTCAAGAGAAACTAATGACAAAATTAACATTTTTAACTTTTGACCTAAATTTGATTATGTTTTTCTTGGTTCTTAACTCAGAGGAGTTATAGATTTTTGCAAGAGGAAGGAATCTAGGCTTGTCTAGTAATATATTTGCCATATCACCTTTCTTCCCATGGCCATAGCTCATGGGTTCCTGGACTCATGGAAATTAAGATACCAGGGAGTGGGCTGGCAGAATTTTAGAATATTTTATTGATACATCAATTCTTTCATAATGCAGCATATGTGTTTTTAAAAATCACTGAGTTATGCAACATTGCACAATAAAGACCACAGAGATTATAGGGAAAATGGGGTAGTAGGCACAATACCTCAAAATATCACTGATTACAAAAAATGATAGGCACTGATACAAACAGTAGCATGGGTTTTAGATTATTAAGAACTGCACAATGAATGTGGCACATTGCCTAACAAAAGGCTCAAAGGTCACTGGATAGTGAGAAGCTTACAGCTTGTGTGCTGTCACGAAGTGGTGACAAGAAGGCAATCAGAAACTGGGCAGACTGCTTCCCATAAGTGACCTGAGGTGATCTTTAAAAATGGTTTGCTGTTCACTTGACCCAAAGAACTCCCCAAAAGTAATGCAATCAAGGTTTAAATCTTTGTGTTCACTTTTAAAAACACCAGTGAAACTGTCCAGGCCATCAAGGGTATGCATAATCTGAAAAACCACCAAGTATCTGAAAGATGTTACTTTACAGAAGCAGCGTGTGACATTCTGTCATTACAATGACAGAGTTGGTTGACGTGCCCAGGCCAAACACTGGGGCAAGACACAATGCCGGTGGCCCAAAAAAGAGTGCTGAATTTTTGCTACAAATGCTTAAAAATACAGATAGTAATGCTGAACTTAAAGGGTTAGATGTAGACTCTCTGATCATTGAGTAGACACAGGTGAACAAGACACCCAAGATGCGCCCTTGTACTTACCGAGCTCATGGGCAGATTAATCCATCCATGAGCTTCCCTGTCACATCAAGATAATCTTTTCTGCAAAGGAACAATTTTTTCCCTAAACCAGAAGTAAAGGCTGCACAGAAGAAAAAGATCCCAGAAGAAAATGAAGAGACAAAAACTTGTGGCACGGGAATAAATTTAGCTTGAAGTAAATGTAGATAAAAGTAAGAGAAAAAAGAAATTGGGCAGACTGTTGGATGGGTGCAGTTTATAAGACAGGTGAATTGATGAAGATGTTTGAGTGGTGTGTGTGTGTGTGTGTGTGTGCGTGTGTGTGTGTGTGTGTGTGTGACAGCTCTGTATGTCTGTGTGACTTGGTGCAGCTACGTGCAGTTTTCTGTGTTTACCCTGTGTGTCATATGAGTGGAATTGCTCATAAAACCGATATATGCAAATTGTTCCCTAATATGTCAATCTCAGTGGAATAAACTCACATTTCAAAACTAGTATTACAAAAGCACCGTTTTTCTGCCATGAGAGTCAAATAATGTCCAATGCAAAGCCTGGTTTTCAAAAACTAAGAGACTGGACACATTTGATAAGCTCAAAATATTACAGTAGCTCCTCAGGTACCCTTCTAACACTATATTGCACCCACTCACCTTTGAATAAGAGTGAATTTTTCCTAGAAAGTCTTATTTTTTTTAAAATGCCATCTCTTAGTATTCAATCTCGCCGATTTATAGTCAGTGACCCATACAAATCTTTAAAAGCCCTAAAGTTTTAATTAGGAAAATGGTCATTCTTCTCCAGTATCAATTATACACTTTTTCATAGGGGACTACAAATGATCACAATTGTGCTAGCTTACTAGTTGGGCAGGAAAAGAAAAGAGACCACACAGAGATAAGACCCTGTAAAGCCACCTTGTTCAGAAAAGCTTGGGTTCTCAGGAACCAGTCGTACATTCTCATCTTGGTTTCCTGATTAGCGACCTCATGATGATGGCCTGAAATACAGAAATGCTATAAAGCAGCACTTTTAATTTCTAGGACAGCAGATTGTTAAAGGGTAGTCACCATATCTGTGATTTTACAGTTGCTTTTTTCCTAAAATATTCCACACTTAGTAATAATGTCTACCTGTTTCTATTTTTTTTTTTTTTTGGAGAGGTTTTCATTATAGGGCACATGTGCTCGCCAGACAGAGAGAGACAGAGAGATAGAAACCGAGAAATCACCCCCCCAGGGGGGATGGCCATGCTGCAATCCCTTCTCCTCCATTCTCCTCTCAGGATCTTGGGCATGCACGCACACGCACCCGGTGTGAGTTTAAGCCTACTGGTCCGGGACTCGAACTGTGGTTGACTACATGGGAGTCCAGCGACAGAGCTGTTACGCTAACTGCTGGTCTCTTTGTTTCTAATTTTCCAGGAGGAAAAATGTCCACGGTCTTCACTAAAGAGACATGTTAAATCTCCCAGAGTCAGGAAATTCTAAGTGTAATTGCACTTGCTTCTTCGCTGTAATTCAAGTGCATGTCCTCTTGTTCTGTCCTCTAAGGGGTGGTAATATATTATTTTCACAATAATCTTCTGTCAACTAGAAAATGAAAGCCTTCTTTTTCAAATTTTATGCATTCCCACAAAATATATGAAAAAATTACTACCCTATCTAATCTTCATTTTCTCTACATTTGTCTTAATTTTGTTGCAAAGAAGGTGAATTGCTTTCCTTTTTTTTTATTTGAAGAAGAACCAATTATAATGAACACAAGAATGGATTTTGATTTTGCTTTAATGGGAATTGTGCCTATATGCAAAAAGAAATATTCTTGCTTAAAGCCCTGATTATTTATCAGGATTTTTTCTCTGTGTAGCTGACACCTTTATACGAGCTGGTAAAGGAAGTACCCTGTGCTTCTGTGAAAAGACTATACCTGAAACGGGCTCTTGAAGAGTATCTGGCTGAATTTGACCCCTGCCATTGCCGTCCTTGTCAAAATGGTGGAGTGGCCACTGTTGCAGGGACCCAGTGTCAGTGCCATTGCAAGCCATACACTTTTGGTGTGGCTTGTGAGCAAGGTGTCCTCGTGGGGAGTCAAGCAGGTCAGTGTGCTGATGTTTCTCTAAGTCATGGTGGGCACTTTGAAAAGGGAATTGTCCTTTCTGTTCTCTCAGCTATGCCTCTTTGTGTATAGAGAGATGAAGTCTCATTTGAATTTAGTGACTTTCCTTTTCTACCTCTAGATTATAGCTACTGTAGTTAAGATCCCTTGTGTCTATTTACCTGTTTGAATTAACAGACACTGCGCTCTTTGTCTCCCATTCTCTATTAGAATGGAATTCTGATTGAAATGCCTTTCATCCTTCCATAAGTCTCTCAATAAGGTTTTGTCCTAACATAGGTCTATGAAACTTGGGTTTGTTGTGCATGCCCTTTCTTTCTTCTTTCTTTCTCTTTCTTTCTCTCTCTCTTTCTCTTTCTTTCTCTCTCTCTTTCTCTTTCTTTCTTTCTTTCTTTCTTTCTTTCTTTCTTTCTTTCTTCTTTCTTTCTTTTTTCTTTCCTTTTTCTTTCTTTCTTTTTTAGAGAGATTTTTGCCAAAGGCATGTGTGCTTGCCAGAGAGACAAAGAAAGGTAGAGAGGCAGAAAGCAAGAAATCACGCCTCCTGGGGATGGCCATGCCACCATCTTTTCTCCTCCATTCTCCTCTCGGAATTTTGAGTATGCATGAACACAGGCCCCTGGTGTGAGTTTTAAGCCACTGGGCCCAGGATTCAAACCACGGTTGACTGAGACTCCAGCGATGTAACCATTATGCCTACCCAATCTAACATCAAGCTTTTTGAAGCACATTGATTTCTCTTTTATATCATATATCATCAGTCAATCATTCACATCTGTTGTGTGTTTGGTGCTTTAAACACTTAGTACAGGGCTCTGTAAAGTTGACCTTTGAGTAGTCAAAGTATGACTACAATTTATATGTATTCACTTTCATATTTATATGTCTCTTTATTCTAGAAAACTTATTTTTTAAGGTCAGGGCTATTTGATTTCTATTTTTGATACATAGAAGTTTCTAAATAAATGTTTGATAAATGATTAAATACATGACTAAACTACGGTTGCTTATAAGACATAATTGCTCCCAAATGTCTTCCCAAATGGCCTTTCTTGAGTCCATTATCACGTTGCTAACAGAAATACCTGAGACTGGGTGAATTTAAGAAAATAGGGGTTTATCTTGACTCAAAGTTCTGGTGGCTAGGAAGTCCAAAGGCATCGCAAAATGGCCTAAGGCAAAACTTACAGCAGAGCAGAGAGTGGTCTATATGGTTGTGGCTTTCTCTCTGTTTCACTTCCTTTGTTCATTTACAAACATGGGGTCCCACCCTAACGACATTATCCCACCCAAAGGCCCCACCTGGGGCACCATGAAAGAATTAAGTTTTCACTTAGCAATACAATCAAGTCCCCAAACATGGATTTTGGGAAGTATCTAAATTCTAAGACATGAAACCTTGGGGGGGGGAACTATTATTCGAACCATAATATGGCCTGTTCCATTAAACCATCCTGTTGTGGTTTACACTTACAGTTATCTATTACAATGCAAGCACCCCCTTGCTGGTAAAAACTGGTTTAACAGAGTGGCAGAGCAGGTTAAGCTATAATTATACCCATATCGGTATACTTGAAATTATTTTTTATTTTTCTTCTTTTCTTTTCTTTTTAAAGGCCACATGTACTCACTCAAAAGAGAAAGAGGGAAAGTGAGAAAGTAGCTCCCCTCTTGCCCAATGGATCAGGGTTATACTGTAATCCCTTCTTCTTCATTTCTCCCTCCTTTGAGGATTTTGGGGACATAGGCATATACACTTGGTTTGTTTGTCAAGCTACTGGGTCCAGGACTTGAACTGTATGGTTGACCATGTAAGATCCAGCCACTCCAATCACTCGCTGGTCCTCTTCTTTCTTCTTTCCTTTTTTATTTTATTTTATTTTATTTTATTTCTTTTTTCCATCAGAGAGAAGAAAAAAAGAGAGGGAGAGACAGGTAACCCCTCACAACAGTGTCCTTATGCTACAGTCCACAAGCCATCCCCAGTCCCAGCTAATCCAGATCATAGGCACCTGCATACTGGCATGTATAGGGAGGACCTGGACATGAACCAGGACCTGGGTTCTGGCACCTTTCTCACATGGGTCTGTTCCTCACATGGGTCCAGTTGCATTACCACTGCAACACTGCTTGGTCCAGGGGACCCCTTTATTAAATAAAATTCTAGTTATGACAACATAAAAAAGGTCTTAGGAAAAAAATACGGATTGGTTTAGCTTTGGTGTATATATGGGTGTGGAGTAGAGAAAAAGTGGGATGTGGGTCCCTCAGAGTAGAAGTAGCTAAGAAGCAGCAAACACACCCATCTCCTGTCAGAAAATAATGATGTTGGGGAATGGCTTCTGAGATTGCATTCTAACTAGGAAAGCAAGGCTCTTAAAATGTGGTGCAAGTTCACTTTTGCCTTCCTCAAGAAACATAACAAGAGAAAACAATAAAAGAACTGTGGATCTTAAATAGGCTTTGAGGTAGAAAGTAGCTAGAATGGGTTGAGGAGACACCCGTAGATAGAAGGATGTGAAAGGTGGTCAAACTGGTGATTTAAAAGCATTTCTCCCATACATTCCTCATCTTGCACAGTGCTGGCCCTGGCATCAGCAGCCTAGGAGTATTCAGTAGGTCATGTTCTCTGCAGACCAAGTCAATGCTTTAAGTACAGGAACTCATTTACCATAATGAGATACTGGCGAGTAATGAAAAGAGTCTGGACTCAGCAGGAAGACCAGTTTGTGGTCTGGATGTGTCTCTTGGTTCATGGCACTGAAAAGTTTTGTTTTAGAGTCCATGTTTATTCATTGGGAATGTTATAAGACCTTCTGCCCACTCCAATTCATTGCTGAGAGAATTAAATAAATGAAACAAAATACATGAAAGTGCTTTGAAACAGTCATAAGATAACCAACAAACTGAAGATATTATCTGCAAGAAGTTTGGGAGCACAGCCTCCATATGGACGGTGTGTAAAGTAATCTGCCCATTGCAGAAAACCCCAGTGAACTGAGTGAAGGTCAATCCCCAGTATCATCCCTTCTCATAGTAAATTCATTAGCAGGAACCATAGCACTAGACTCTGAAGCCCTCCTCTCCACAAACTCAATGAACAACCTCTCTCTTACAGGAGTAGTTGATGGAGGTTGGAGTTGCTGGTCCTCCTGGGGTCCCTGTATTCAAGGGAAGAAAAGAAGGAGCCGAAAATGCAATAACCCATCTCCCAGTAGGGGTGGGAAGTCTTGTATTGGAGAAACAACAGAGAGCAAGCAATGCGAAGATGAGGAACTGGAGCATTTACGGTAATGGAGAGCAGGCTTCTGGCCTAGAACGCAGTGTGGATACATGATTGCTACTATTGAAAGATCTAGAAGTTGAATGGCATTTTTAATCAGTAACTGCTTTTCCCGTTAGCACTTGGGTCAGCTGGAGGAGGAAGGCAGCTGTGGTTAACTTGCGCTTGCATGCTCCAGGCTTTCCTAACTTGAGCATTAGAGGAGACTGGGTAATGGCGCTATCCGGATGAGTGGGTGTGAACAGCAGCACTGGCATCACGCAGAGCTGTAACCTCCTTTTTGTGAGTTCTTGGGCAAGTACCTGCCACATCTCTCACATGAGAATAATTGTGGCAGGAAAACAATGATAGGGTGGTGTCAGCATTGAACGAGGTTAAACATGTTGCTTAATACAGGGCCTTGCACATAGTAAATGCTCAAGAAATGTTCTACTTTTCAGATCTACCACTTTCTATTATTATTATTATTTGGAATTAAGTGTAAAGCCTCATGCTTGTGTTGGGTAATATCTTAACTGATTAATCTGGCAGGCTGGCACCAACTTCTATTTGCCAGGACCTTGCAAAAATGATCTCAAAACATGTACTTGATGAATCATACCCTTGGGTCAGAATTCTTTATACCACACTCCCGCTGTTTTACATTGTCCTTACTTTTCTTTTTTTGATATAAGTGCTTTGTTTTTTTAAGAGATATTTTTGATACAGGGCATGTGTGCTCACTGGAGGAGACAAAGAGAGACAGAGAGAGAGAAAGTGAGAAATCACCACCATGTCATCTGCTGGCCCCACTGAATGCCTTTTTTTAAAATTTTTTTTATTTGTTTTTATTTTTTAACATTAATATGCTATACATCATTACAGTATACAAAATGAATTTTTCATCCAAAATACATTGTCTGTTGGCTCAATCAAGTACATCAACATATGTGTTATCAACAAACAATTTTCCATTTCTTATGTCTTGTATATTTTGAGTTTTTTCTCTTTTTTTGCCATCCTTGATTCCCTATCCCTAACCCTCTGCCCGGTCCAACCCTCCTCCCATTGTCTCTGTTATCCCTGTTTTCTTTCTATGCCTACCCCCCATTTAATTGATTTGCTAATGAACTTAATTTGTCTAAATATTTGCAATAGCAAGTACAGCTGATATTTACATACACAAGAACCCATGTCTGACTTTAGGCATAAACCTCAGTGAGTAGTCTAAATGTGGTTTCCCATCTAGAATATACTATATAGTGGCTTAATAATGCATGTTATCATCCATAATATTCCATTTCTACTTTCATATATATGTTTTTTTACCCCATGTCTAGCCCTCTGCCCTATTCCACTCTCTTATTACACTATCTCTGCTGTCTACAGTTGTCTTCAATCCCTTTTCCCCCAACATTTCGTTGGTCACACAATATCATAAGTAATCTAACTACTTTCAATAGCAAGATCAGCCGATGGTTTCAAGAAAAGCAGTTTTGAACTGGTAAGGATATTTCTTTGAAACTTAAAGCCTAGAAACAGGTTAGTATTCTGTTCAAATAGTCGGAACATGAATCTATTGATAGCTGAAGACAGGACAAAAGTCCTTAAAACCAGACAACAAAGCTTAGAAGAAAAGCAGCAATATTTTAGTCAAGTCGTAGAATACTGTTTCATCAGTTCAGTCTCATGTACTTAATCTTTCTTCTGTATCTGTTGAGGTTCGATGTTCCAGATTGAAATCTGGGATGTAATACTCAACTCCAGCTTTTGGCCCTACAATTAAGTTGCCCATTTTCTTAGTTTCTGAACTCTTATTTCTGTGTGTCTGCATTTAATTTTACTGACATAGCACTCCCTTAAGAACTTCTTGGAGATCCGGTCTGGTGCTGGTAAATTCTTTCAGGTTTTGTTTATCTGGGAAAGTTCGTGTCTTTTCTTCCCAAATGAACGATAACCTTGCTGGGTACAGAATTCTCGGTTGAAATTGCTTTTCCCTTAATACTTTGAATACATTTTCCCATTCTCTCCTCGCTCTCATTGTTTCCGATGAGAGGTCTGCCGTTAGTCTGATGGGATACCCTTTGTAGGTAACTTGCCTTTTTTCTCTTGCCAGTCTTAGTATCTTGTCTTTGTCTGTGGTTTTGGTCAATCTGGCTATAATGTGTCTTGGAGAAGATCTTCTTGGGTTGATTCTATTTGGGGTCCTCTGTATTTCTTGGGACTGAATCTTTGAGTGCCTCTCCAGGTTTGGAAAATTTTCTTGTAAGATTTCATGGAATAGATTATCAATGCCCTTATGAGTCTCTTCACCTTCTGGGATGCCTATTATCCGGATGTTTGGACGTTTGATGGTATCTAGTACTTCTCGCATATTATTCTCAAATTTTTGGGCCATTTTCTCAGTCTTCGCGGTGGATTTTTCTAGGCCAACCATTTTCTCTTCTACATTAGAGATTCTATTTTCTGTATGATCTAGTCTGCTTTTAATACTTTCAAGGGAGATTTTGACTTCTAGTATTATAGCCTTCATCTCTAACAGTTCCATCTGATTCTTTTGTAAAGTGTGAAATTCCTCTTTTAGATCTTGCATGAATTTCCTCACCTCCTGGAACTCTTCAACTCCTTTCTACTTCCTCTTCAGCAGTTCCTTGTCTCTCTTCTCTTCCATCTCTGTTAGCTTTGCCATTATGAACGTTCTGAATTCTTTATCAGACATTTCCATGATTTCCATGGAACTCTGTGTGGATGAAGAGCAGCTATCCTTTTCCCTTGTGGGAGAGGTATTTTCTTGCTTCCCCATATTTCTTGTGCTCCTGCAGCGATTTCTAGTCATCTGGTGATTTCTAGTCAATCAGTTTCTTCCCAAACTTGGAAGTTCAATCAGAGGGTCGAGGAGTGTGCAGAAAAGAAAACAGAGAGAGGGAAACAACAGCAAAAACACCAGACAAGACACAGAGAAAAAGAAGAGAAAAACTTAAAAAAACAAAATTAATATTCAAAAAATTATAATACAACTCAAAAATTGGAAAACCGCGTAGCACGCAAGCGCGCTGCGTGAAATGGCTAGATTGCAGGAGCCATGGAGCTATCTGTCTCTTGAAGAAGGGCTGTTCTGGGAGGAGGAGAGGGGATTATTAACAAGATAATGACCTAGGAGGAGCCAAAAGTCCCTGTAAAATGCCTCACCTTAAAAAATTCGAAAAAGCAAAAATTAAAAAAAAAAAAAACAGAGAGAGAGAGAGAGAGAGGACAGAGACAGAGGTAGAGAGAGAGAAAGACTGATACAGAGACAGGAGACTTGAAAGGGGTCTTGCTGCCATGCAAGTTTTGTATGCTGGAGGCCCAGTTATCAGTG